ATTTATGGCAGCGATCCCCCCTTTAAAAAAAATATGGTCCGACCTGCCCTGCCCTGCCCTTGCCTATTCCACCGTGGCCACATCCCCCCCCCCTCCCCCCCCGTATTTCTTTTTTGCAGGTCACCTTCAGCGACCTCTGCGTGATGACCAAGCCGCCGTCGCTGCAGCGCCGGCGCGGGGCCGGACTCGACGACGGCGCCAACCGGTACCGCCTCCTGTTCTCGCTGTGGAACAGCTCCACTCTCTCGTACGTCTCGTGGCAGCACATGCCGACGCCGCTGCTCATCCGCAACTCGTTCCACATGCTGCCGCCCGAGGAGAAGGCGTGGAGACACTTCCGAGACACTTCCGAGACACCTCCTAGACACTTCCTAGACACCTCTAGACACCTCCTTGTTCACACCTCCCGCCCGAGGAGAAGGCGTGGAGACACTTCCTAGACACCTCCTAGACACTTCCTAGACACTTCCTTGTTCACACCTCCCGCCCGAGGAGAAGGCGTGGAGACACTTCCGAGACACTTCCGAGACACCTCCTAGACACTTCCTAGACACCTCCTTGTTCACACCTCCCGCCCGAGGAGAAGGCGTGGAGACACTTCCTAGACACATCCTAGACACTTCCTAGACACTTCCTTGTTCACACCTCCCGCCCGAGGAGAAGGCGTGGAGACACTTCCTAGACACCTCCTAGACACCTCCTTGTTCACACCTCCCGCCCGAGGAGAAGGCGTGGAGACACTTCCGAGACACTTCCGAGACACTTCCGAGACACTTCCTAGACACTTCCTTGTTCACACCTCCCGCCCGAGGAGAAGGCGTGGAGACACTTCCGAGACACTTCCGAGACACTTCCGAGACACTTCCTAGACACTTCCTTGTTCACACCTCCCGCCCGAGGAGAAGGCGTGGAGACACTTCCTAGACACCTCCTAGACACTTCCTAGACACTTCCTTGTTCACACCTCCCGCCCGAGGAGAAGGCGTGGAGACACTTCCTAGACACTTCCTAGACACTTCCTAGACACTTCCTTGTTCACACCTCCCGCCCGAGGAGAAGGCGTGGAGACACTTCCTAGACACCTCCTAGACACTTCCTAGACACTTCCTTGTTCACACCTCCCGCCCGAGGAGAAGGCGTGGAGACACTTCCTAGACACCTCCTAGACACTTCCTAGACACTTCCTTGTTCACACCTCCCGCCCGAGGAGAAGGCGTACCGGCGGCAAGAGTACGCCCGCTCCCGCAGCGGCGGCGGCACCGCGCGCCGCGCCGCCGCCGCGCCCGCCTCCGCCGCCTCCGCCGCCGCCGCTTCCCCCGCCGCCGCCACTGTCGCCGCCTCCGCCGCCGCTGCGAACGATCTCGAGGTAGAGGCGGTCGCGATGGACGAGGGTGTCGGCGAGAGGCTCCCACCGCTGCCCGAGCAGAGCGGCGGGAGCGCGGAGGCGGCGGCGGCTGGCGGCGGCGGCGGCGGCGGCGGCGGCGGCGGCGGCGGCGGCGGCGGCGGCGGCGGCGGCGGCGGCGGCGGCGGCGGCGGCGCCGCCGCCCCCTCCGCCGCCGCCGCCGCCGCCGTCACCGCCGCCGCCGCCGCCGCCGCAACCGCCGCCGCCGCCGCCAGGCCTTTACGCAATTGGCGGCTGGCTGCAAATTTCTGTGCCCAGAAATTTAGCCACGAAAATGACATACTTCTCGAGGAATGGCGGCGTTGATTGGAAACGGCTGCCCGAGATGGCAACAGCTCGGATGATGTTCGCG